GCTACATGCTAGGCTAATCTATGTGGAAAAGATGGTTAAAAGATAAAAGCGACATATAAATATAGTTACATCTTAAGTTAGATAATGTGGTTGTCTTTTCCACATAGATTAGCCTAGCACATAGCATATCTCATTACAGGAGAACTGTTATTGGAGCACAGAACAAAAAGGGGCGGGGCTTATGAAGGGTCAATTAAGGCAGGCTGGTGAAGTTCTGCATGGATGAAGAACACAACCTAAAGCCCGCCATGTTCTACACTGAACATCTTTCCCCCCCTTTTCCCATCAGGCCACCTGACAGACGACCACCTGGTGGAGTTCCTGCGACGCTGCCAGAAAGCCCTGCGGTCCAACGGCCTCGTCGTGATCAAGGACAATGTGTCGTACGAGGGCGTGGTCCCCGACGAGGTGGACAGCAGCGTCTGCCGCGACCTGAAAATAGTGCACAGTCTGGTGGGCAGAGCGGGCCTCCGCATCGTCCACGAGGAGCAACAAATGAACTTCCCAAAGGAGATCTACCAAGTCCACATGCTGGCTCTCAGATAGAGGACTGTTCCCTCCTGCGTGGGACAGGAAGAAGGGCCGCTCTTGTATACAAAGTATTTCTAATGTGGAAATGGTATTTTTCTAGTCAGCCGTCCGTTTATTATCTGTTTGGAAGGGATCTGCAGTGTGGTGTGTGTGTGAGTGTGTGTTGCTAACTTTTCTGAGCTACCAGGCCACGTTACACCTCTGTCTCACACTCAGGAAGGACACATTCTGGCCTGTGTGTCAGTGTGGTCTCCAGCAGGATCGCAGGTCAGAGTTCACCTTTGGCTGTGTCGGCCAATAGAAACCCTGATGGACAGTCATTGTTCTAACGCCCCACTCTAACGTACTGTCATCAGTGTGCTCAATATTTATTTATTACTAATGCTGGAACTGTGACATCACTTCCTTGGAGCTGAAGGCGGGGCAGTTTTACTGACCAGAGGGCTAATGTGACCGTCACCTTACTGGAAGCGTTTCAGATGTGCAGCAGCAGATACATTTCCATTATTGTTTAGAATTGTTTCATGGACATTTTGGATGTTTTACAGCTGATTGGAAACATGTTTGCAGGTCATTTTCTAAACAATGTGGAGACTTTGTGGCTGTATTTTACTGCTTTTAAGGGGTATCTGTTCATATGGAGTCTGATTTGATACTTCTATTTACCTAAATGTTGATTAAATGTATCTGACACATTGAAATAACACTGAAGCCTACTTCACTTAAGTAGATCATCTTAAATTATGTAGATGATATGGATGAAAGTGTAACTGGGACAGTGTGACTCCTGAAACTGACGTGATGCGATGGCTGCAGACGTGTGGTTCTGTTGGAACTACAGGAAGTCCACTCATGTTTGTACAGAGGTGTTACAGAGTGATGCTTCTCTTAACTAATAACGGCCGACCATCCCACAGCCGCTTCACGCTGTGATTGGTCAGCTGTGTGGAGGCGAGGAAGGAGCCAGGGTTTAAACTTCTCAATGTCTGAGGATGTGCTATAGGCAAAGTGTCTAATCACCAAGAAAACAATCTGCTGATTATTTGATACTGAAAATAAGTTGCAGCTCTGAACCACATCAGTGCTTCCTCTGCTTTAGACTTTGGGGTTGGGGTGATGCAGTCAGACTAGTTTTGCTGTAACGACAAAATCAAAAGGTGTATGAACACACTGACATTAAATAAAGCATTTACTTTCAGTCAGAAGTGATGCTTCAGAGATAAGAATAGACCCAGTGCGTAAAGATAGCAGAGCTGGAAAAAGGAGCCACTCGCTAGTGGATAACTCCAAGAGCAGTGAGCTCAGCTGCATTCTGTGGATGCTGGGAGTTGTAGTGACAGCTGCAGGGGAAGTGAGACTCAGGACTGTGGTTTACCTCAGGGTAGACCTGGCCAATGAATCAATTCATCCAAATTTAAAATGACGCAAGAAAACAGCTTAATTGTAAAAAATGTAGACTTAAACAACAGCTGCTAAGGACTACAAGCCCCAATCCACTCAAGTCACTAATCTACACAGAACATGTAGAATTATTTTCTCACAGTATCCCATAAGAGAAGAAGGGGCCTCAGTGATAAGGTAAAGAAATAAAGATATGGTGTCTTTTGTAGTTCAGAGAAACAAAATGAGGAAGTTGAGACAATGTCTCCTTTCTCTCCATCACGTCTACTTGTTCCAGCACTCCACTGGAGCTCTAGCACGCTCATTTGTTTTATGGCTGCACTCATGTATGTTCTGCATTTTACACTTTTTCTCAGAATTCAGCCTGATACACCAGTAGAGTTTCACCTTAAAAAGAAAAGCATTCAAAATAGACAGCATATGAAGAAACGCACGTCAGCGTGTTTATATGGGAAGCAGTGAAGACTGTAACAGTAGATTGTACTTCCAGTGAGTGCTGTCAGTTAGGATTCATCATCACTCTGCTTCTGCGGATCCACTGCTAATGAATTTCCACTTGGAGGTCAGGTAGAAGATACCATTCCAAATAAAAGGAGTGTTGCTCTTTTGACAAATAATAATATTTGATGCCTATTTCTGTCCTCTTTAAAGGCGCTGTGGACTCATTGTCTTTACTAATTTTAATCCTAAATGCTAATGTTTGTTTGCCTCTGCTGTATCACATTTATCACAATATGTGAAGATCAGTTTACAGAACAGATCGTTGGTGTTGTTTAAATTATGAAGTTTGTTGGTTTATATTTTTCAGTTTGTCCAGATACAGAGTAATGATTCAAAGGATTTGACTCTGGATTAAGGCTGCCAATATGAATCAAAATCAAACCAATCAAATTGGTAATGTAACTGTCCACTTATGTACATGACATAAATACAGAACAAATAATAATAATAACCAGCATAAACTAAAATGACACAATACTGGTATAATGAAACATTTGACAAGGATTGGACAACAAAGTGTTGTAAACTCAGTCTGTCACCGCTTCACAACGTATCAGATTATTGGCCAGTTTCAGTAAACTAGGATTAAAACAAGAAAAAGAGAACAGTGACCATCAGATTGAGATGGTTTATTACGGCATATTTTATACAATCAATCACAATTATATCTACTGGTCCATTACACTGTGTATATATCATCGAGCCAGGTTTACTGCAGTACTGTCAGCTAATGCAGTTCATTATTATCCTAACAGTCCCAACACTTGCTGCCTCTAAAGCTTTCACATACACTTGCATTTCTGCACGTCATTAGTGCTACACTGCTGCTGAACCACTAACTGCCCCCTCTGGCTTTTAGAAACACATTGTGGATCTTACTGCTGCAGTGGGAATTATGTTTCACTGTCTTACTGAGAACTCTGTACCTCTGCAGTCAGCCAGCAGGACCGAGCAGAGAGAGGGTTCTGCCTGTCAGTGTCAGTGCTGGGCAGTAGTTATAACATTACCTTCCCCAGTAACTAGTAATGTAACTAATTACTAATACATTTCAGAAATATTACAGTTACCCAATCCCCCCACCCCCAAGAAATAACTGCATTACTTCTATGTCACCCTCTACTGATTTGAAATCCAACAATCCAATCACATCCTTGGATTCTTTTTTGTAATCAGCAAGCAGGAAGCTAGTTTGACAGATGGAACCACTCAATTGCCCAGCACTGAGGCTGACTATCAGCCCTGCACACGTGTTATACATACTCAGTTATTAAGGCAGCAAATATTTTAAAAATAGTAGAAATACTTGGTTCATGTTGTAAAGTACCAGGAATGCCTCACTGAATGACGTTGCGTTGCAGCAAAAGTGGAGCCTGGTTCAACTGTTTCTCCCGGGGCCCGTCTGCTTTTTTTCAAGCAGGACGACAGTGAGTCTGAAGCGGTGTTAGAGACTGCGATGTGAACTGCAGCACCTTAATTCAACCAACTGCTGTGTGGAACTGTCAGAGTGATGACCGCTGAGATTAGGTTACTTTGTCAGACATGCTGAGGCGAAGAATGGACTTCCCTGCTGCTGACTGCTGGGATCGCGTCACGCCGTCAACATGGCAGCAGCTCAACGTGAACACTGAGGAAGCTACAACGTACTCAAATTCTACCAAAGGAAATGTATAATTTATAGGATATTATTAAGAAGTGTTGCAAGGTGTTGTGGGAGGCCCTGCTCCACCTCAGGAACAACTATATGCCTCCTCTGAAATAGGCTGAAGCGACCGACGGGAAAAGTTACCGTCCTGCTTGTCCAGCCTGGGTTGAGGTCACGTGATCAAGACCAGGTCTCACTCTGGAGCCGGCCCGACCTCTCCATGGTCGCCAGCATCTGCTCGGCGTCCTCTGCGGACACGCCCCCCTCCTTCTGAAATGCCTCTTTCAGAGCACCACACACAGCGTCTGGCATCTCTTTAGCATTGCTGCACAGGAGAACACACAGTCAGCCACTCAGTGTGTGTACAGAGGCCTTCAGCTACGGGCCAGCACCACACACAGCTTTTATTTTTGTCCCACATCTCAGAATGAAAGACAGAAAAAACATATGAGACACACATTATTGTTCCAAGCAGACTATTTGTGTATAGTCTTAATACATGTCTGGAGGGGACCTTTAATGTCCAGTATGAACAGGAGGAATGATTACAGTGAGCATGTTTATACAGCCACCTGACTGTTGTTCTAAGCCAGACTACATCTGTGACTCTGTTCTGAACCCCCGGGTGTAAACAGGAGAAGGTGGCACTCACCCAGCGATGTAAAAGCAGGCACTTTTATTGGCGATCAGGTCCCACAGGAGCCCAGCGTTCTCCCTCACACGGTGCTGCACGTACACCTTGTCCTCCTGACACACACACATTCAGCTTCATGATTATCCACAGAGGAGACGCACACACTGCCACAGCTACAGCGCCGGCTGGGGCAGGTGGCCTCACAGTGAATCCTGGGTATTGTAGGGAAAGGTTAAACACAGTTCTGGTTTTACTGCGAGCTGGAAAATGTCAAACCCTCTACAATCATATGTATATATAAAAACTTTATATTATATATATATATATATATATATATATATATATATATTTATTATTTGATATATTTTATGTTTCTAACTATAACAGCACGGTGAGAGATTCAGGATCCTAAAGATTTTTTTTTGTTCCCCTCTTGATGGGTTTGGGCAGATATCAATCATTAACCCATTATCTAACAGTCACTAAGCTAACCCAAGAACATCAGAAAAAGGGGACATAATATAATAATAATAATAATAAATAATAATAATATAATTATAATATGACATAGCGTGTGTATTTTCAGTTCTACACAGTTCGACCTTATTTGTTTCTCTGTTGTGGCATGGTTAAACCAGTTAATGACATTACAGTGATCAGGAAAATCTAAAAGAGCAATTCAGGAGAAAGTGGTGCGGAGGGCTGGCGATCGTTTGGGACCATGACGCTAATAGTGTTTGTCTGATGTATAGCGTGCGAAAGGTTGAGTTTATTTCTGTTCCTTCCTATGCTGACGGTTTGACGTCTATTGTGTGTGTGAGTGATGTGTGTGTGTTGCTGGTCTCGTGAAGAAGGCAGTGAAGGAGGGTCAGGTGGACGGCCTTTTATCTGCGTCCACTCACTGGAGAGTTAGACGTCTTTAGACTCGGATGCGACAGCCGAAGCACAGGACGTTGGTGCAGGCAGGAGGAGGAGGAGGAGGAGGAGGAGGAGGAGGAGAGGAGGGAGGAGAGGAGAGGAGAGGGATGAGAGGAAATGAGGAGGAGGAGGAGGTTAGGAGGAGGAGGAGGAGAGGAGGAGGAGGAGGAGGAGTGTCAGGTCAGGATGGATGTGAAGAGGTGAGAGACAGAGTCAGAGAGGTGATGAACTCACCGTATTTTCCCTCTGCAATCCTCTCCTGTAAAGCCGACCTGAAGGGCGCCACTCCTGTTCCGGGTCCAACCATTATCACAGGGGTGTCCTTCTCTTTAGGGAACTCAGACGTTCCTCTTCACCCACGAAGGGGCACATGCACCTTCCTGCAACCACCGTTTAGAGCAGTGGGTTCCCAACCTTTTTCTATAACTTTAAACTGATCGTGCAGAATATATTTTATGGATATTCCATTATAAATTAAAACTGTACAATGAACCCAAACAGTGTGACTTGTCTGATTATGTAGACAGGAGAACCCCCCCAATGAAGGTTGCGCGACTCAAGGTTGGGAACCACAAGTGGAACTACTGGTTTAGTACAACACAATAAAAGCATGCATGGTTTTATATGACCTTTTGGAATATAACATAAAATCATCATTTTTGTATCAGGACGTACTTATTCTCAACGTTGTGTGTTTGTTTTTTAACTGTAGGATTACAATATTTATTTAAATTCTATAAATTCTCAAATAGTCTTTATCTTCCTCAATCGCAGAGAAAACCAAGTGTTTATTTGATGTAGGCCTATATTATTTATTCCTAATTTCACATGTTTATGATATATTAGATCATATTTTAGTAAGATTTCTCCATGATTTCTGATCTCACTGATGCTGTCTGCCTGCATGTTTACCTGCTGTCTTGTGAATTCAGCATAATGTATGTAACCAGCCAGTCAGAATGAAGTAATCCCTGTTGCACTGATATAAGCCATTGTGAGATGTGGCGACAGACCTTGTGCAGGGTTCAGGGAGGCCAACCAGCTGGAGCAGAGGCCTTTTCGTGGTTTATACATCTTGGTTTTGTAACGCACCACGGCCACCAGGATCTGAAGCCTGCGTGGGTGAGCCTGTGTGGAGAGAATGCTCTGACTGTATTTACCTATACTACTCAAAGTATTGCATTTATTTCATAGCAGTTGAACAGTCGTCTTGAAAGATGAGCTACCTGGAGAGAGGAGGCGATGGAGAAAGAGCGAGGCTGGATCTCTGGGAACAGATCTAGGAGATAGTCTGCTTTGAGTTCGGCTGTAGTATGGGGGAAATCTGCCAAGACCTGCAGCAGCAAGAACACAACGCACTCAATAAGCAGGTCAAAGGACAGGTTTATATATTTAAAGCCTCTATGTGTGGGATCTAAAAAATTTTATTGGTACTCTGAGGATCAATGTACTAAAAGTACTAAAAGTTGAACCCAATGGAAGGCACAGTGAAATATTAGTTTTCCTCTAGACTAAACCAGCGCTGCCCCTAACCCTGAGCCGTCACCTCCAGCGTGGTGCGTCTGGGCCGGTTGCAGTAGCTGAGCAGCTCGTCTTGGCCCGCCGCCGAGCTGAACTCCACCAGCTTGTCGCGCTCCAGCTCATTGGTGGCGAAGGTAGACAGCAGCTCGAAGAAGGAGCGGCGAGGCACGGCCGAGATGTCCAGGTAGCTCTCCACCAGGTGGCGCACAGTGCAGGGCTGAGGAAGCCTGGCTGGAACTGAGAAGGTAAGAGGTTCATTCACAAAGAAACGGGTAATTTCACAATTCTACTTTAAAGCTGCACCAATCAGGATTTCATTTATACATACACAATGTTACACAAAGTCTTATTTCATATTGAACATTTGAGGGAGGCTCACGACTGTCAAAAGAAGGGATTAGTGATAGAGCAGCCTATTAGCTTAAAGTCTTTTACTATTTCATCACTTCTGGAATATACAGTACTCTTACATCCAAAGCCAATCGTAGGCTTACTTTATAGATTTCTTTACTATGAAGCAATTGTCATGGATAATGCACACACTGAAAACACACATACACACACACACGCCTACCTGCATTGTGGTCTGTGGGCCTGAGAGTGAACCTGGCCTCTGGATCTAGTCTCAGCAGTTGACAGAACTGCTCTACGTCCTCTGACGCGTTACAGGGACGCATCATCACCACGTCACCGGCAGCAAACCTGCACAGCAACACTACAGCTAATGGTGGGTCAAGACCAAGAAGGCACAGCACTTTCATTTTACATTGAAAAGAACAAAGAAAGAATGAACTTTGTTTGTGATAAGTGGAACTGGAGTTCAGGGTGCACGCATTAAAGGGGCTCCACATTACTCACTCTATGCTGGATCCAGTGATATCAAACTCAATGTGCCTCACGTCCTGAAAGTGTGACACGTCTGTTACTCTCCTGTTGGACACCAGTCTGCAGGGAAAGGGACGGGACTGGGAGGGGACGGTTTGCTCCGTGGGAATCCTCAGCCTGTCGTCTTTCGTCTCCTTCACGTCATCCAGGAAGTGGAAAGTGTATGTCGGAGGGAGCCTGCAACAAGGAACGAGCTGGGATTAGCAAACTTTCAATCACAATATGCAACCACACATGACATGCTGTGTCAGATCGAGAGGATACTCACGGTTCGTCGTCCCTCAGTGGAATCACATCGGCCAAAGATGGGTACAGAGCAAACACTTTCTCCCACAATGATGTGAGCCACGGGTCGATCACAGCGTCTGACCTGGTTCAGACAGATTTTTGGGGAAATTTGTTGCATGTCACTCCTCTCTCTCTCTCTCAATGTCAAACTTTCATTAAAACGTTCATTCGTGATCTATAAAGCTGATATTTCACTATGAAGCTCAGTTTATTGCACTATTAGTTGTGAAAATATTCTTACCCCAGGTCATGTTGGTCGTCTGCCAGCCCGACAGGCAGCAGCACGCTGGCACCCAGCTGCAGAAGGCGCTTATGGAGCTTCTTGGCCACAAAATTGAACCTGCAAGTGAAAGTGGTGATGCTTTTAGAAAGGCCGGGTCACTCTGAAGGTGCACTGAGAGAGCCGTAAACCTGTAAAGGACTGACTTTGGATAGGAGGAGTCCCCCAGGCCCAGGATGGCACAGTCCAGCCGACTCAGAGAGCCAACAGGCAACGACTTCCTAAAGACAAACCTCCAGAAGTTCTTTGAAGAAAGGAGAAAAAACACAAACGTGAACAGAGTCAGACATTATTCATTGATGGGTTTTTCTTATTTCAGTATATTTGTCTGTAAATTCATCAGATTTTTTAATTGAAAGAATATTGAAGCACATCCATTTCATATCCTCAGGCTTCTTATGGTCTTCAGTGGGGAGTGGTAAAGCATTTTGTGGCCTAATCAGTTCATTCAAACAGAATTGCAGCATTTATTGTGATTCCCTATTGTGTGCGAAGTCAAACTGCATAAATCTTTTGCGTCAAGTTCAACTTTGACGTGCTCTTTCACGCCATTGACCAATACTATAGCAAGTCGCCATCGTACTGAAGAGGCAGACATTCCACTGTGCAAGTGTATCCAGCAGCATGAACGTGAAGGAATTTGGACTTCCAAATATGGGCTGGTTGGGTCACAATGACATTTATCACAACATACCAAACTATAGGCTAATGTGAGATTCACAAATGAGACGAAAGTAATGTTTTACAAGTTATAGTAGGCCTACGTTTAATGCTAAAATTGTGCTACAACTGGTACTACTACTACTGGTGGGCGTGGTTTGGAGGGGCGTGGTTTTGAGGGGCGTGGTTTGGACTCTGCAGCTGCTGCACTGCCTTCACCGCTAACACATTATGATAATGGTGGTGGTTGGTCGGGGGGCATGGTTTGTAGCATCTGCAAGGCCACAGCTGGAAGCTAACAGAGCGTATTAGCTGTGTTGCGTTGTCCTTTTTCTTATTTACCCTTCTCTGCTGGAGTGTAAACTGCTCCACAAATTATGAGACAGGAGTCGATGGTACAACTACATCTTAATAAACTGTGAGAAGTAATTGTCCCGTTAGCAACTGAGCTAATGTACTTGCTAAGTGATCAGCCCACTACAGAGAAAATAAAAGTGCAAAATAAAGTGTAAAAGCACTTGTGTGTTTATCAACACTCTGTTACCACAAGGAAACACATATTTCACAAACAAGTGCAGATGGACTTTATTCAGACAACCAAAAACTTAATTTCCTTAATTTAAGATGACTCACTGTACCAGCAAGTAAAGCAGCGTTCAACAATCAGGGATATTTTCTCACTAGTTTTTTTCCCTTTTATTTCATTACCTTCATATTGTCCGGAGGGTCCCCTTGGCCAGTGGTGGCGCACACAAACACAACCAGACACTCTGAGATCAAGTTGGCCTGTTTGATGAGAGCAAACACACATGAGGGTACAGTGCTTTCATGTGACACAAGTAGGCTTTAAAGGACCAGTGTGTAGGATTTAGTGGCTTCTAATGGTGGCGTTTTAGATCGCAACTAACTGAACACTGCTTGCATCTGTATTTGACAACCAGGAAATGTGAAGTGTGTGGGTGGCTGATTAACTTGCGAAAAGTGTCTGTTCTGGGCTACTGTAGAAACATTGCAGTTCAATGTGTGACGTCTGTAGATAAAAACAGCTCATTCTAAGGTAACGATAACACAATGATTCCCTTCATTCAGGTGATTATACACTGATGAAACCATACCTATGAATATTATATTCCATTTCTGACAGTAGATCTTCTCAGTGTTACACACTGTGTTACATTACAGAGGTAAAAGCTGTTACCCACCAGTGCAGGGAACTGCGTTCAGTCTCTGTATCTGGTGCCTAACCTATCACTGTACTCAACAGCACCACACTCACCACATTGTAAGAGTCCAGAGGCAGCACTTGAACTTGCAGCTTCCTCCTC